CGCACACACACACACACACGCACAGTCACACAATACCTGCTGGGTGACGAGGGCAATGTGTTTCCTGAGGTGGCCCGGGTCAATCTTCTCCGCGTCCACGCCGTCCACCAGGATCTTGCCGCCAACGGGCGAGTAGAACCGCTCAATCAGCGAAATCATCGTACTCTTGCCACACCCGCTCTGGCCGACCAGGGCAATCGTCTTGCCGGGCTCCACCGAGAGGTTCAGCTTGGACAGCACCTGCGCATCGGGGCGCGTCGGGTACACAAAGTCGACGTCCTTGAACTCAACGCGACCCGTAATCTCGGGCCGCACGTACTTCTTCTCCGCCTCGGCCTCTTGCTCCTCCTTGTGCGTCTCGATCATCGTGTACAGGCGACCAGCCGCTTGCTTTGCCTGAGTGCGTGCGTTGCGTGCGTTGCGTGTGTTGGCAAGAAAGGGAGGATAAGGAGGGTCAGAATCGTGAAGTGGGCATGGTTGTGTTTGGTGAGGGCGTGGTAGTGGACCTGTGCACGCGCGCTGACACGAGTGTGCAAGCACGCAGTCCATGCCATGCACGCCACTGTTGCGTCAAAGCCCTCACCTTGACGACATCAGGAGCAAGCGTGGTGGCTTGACCGGCAAAAATGCCCATGAAGATGATGGACACTACAGCAAGTCAGAAGTGGAAGCAATCACCGACACACATGAACATGGTGAGTGACGTGTGCGTTTGCAATTCAAGAACGCAACGCACGAGCGAATGAAGGGCGAACAGAAGTGGCAGATGGAGAGACCAAATCACCAGGCAGAGAAGCAACCGCGCACACAGGCACACGTGCAATTGTACGAACTTTGAGCGGTGAACATTTCTCTGAAACCGCAGAAGCCGTCGTCAACGACCTCGCTGCCGTACCAGAAGGCGAGCGCCCACACGGCAAACATGCTGGTTGTTTGGTGAAGAGAGGAAAGCACAGGTCATTCGATGAGTGAGGGCGACAAAATTCACCGTCAACTCACAACACACACCAATGACGGCAATGAATGTGCGCTACCACTGCGACGTCACACCAGAATTGAGCAAAGCCGAATGCAAGGCCCTGAATCTGGGCTGTCTTCTTCATCACAGCACTAGGGAGCACGAGCGTGTCAAAGTAGTCCTGCACAAATGTGTCCAGTCGACCTGGCGGGGATGCGCAGCGACAAGATGAGCGAAATGTGAGTGTGAAGGCACCACGTGCATGACGTGAATGGAACTTTGCATGCCAGACACGACATTGTTGAGATGTCATGGTGCATGTGCACACCAGCCCACGGCCCACAAACGCACAAATACACAAACACACAACGCACCAAGGGAGGCGACGGTGCGAACTTCCTCGACAGCGAGACTGGCAAACTTCCCAGAGCGCTCAAAGGCCTTGCCCGTTGAGAAGCCACTGATCATCTTGTACTTCATCACGCCTGCACATGTGTGTGGGGGGGGGGGGAGGTAGAAAATGTACAAGCGTTAACAATGGCAGGGCATGCAAGCAGCAAGCGAGACAGGTGACGATGACGATCATGGGGAAACGAGGGTCTGACTTGCACGCACTTGCAAATGCGGTGACGGGAAATGTGGCGAGGACGACGAGTGCGACGCGCCAGCAGTAGATACAGGCAGCCGTCATGCACCCAATCACTGGTGATGAGACAAAGGAGTGATGAAACATGATGAGTCGGCAAGGGAGAACACGCGTACATACGCACGCACATGCACGCACACGCGTACACACGCACGCAGACAGACTCACTCAACACACACAAACACACACACACACAGACACACACATATACACACATGCACACAGGCACACACACATACAAACACGCGCGCGCACACACAATGCGCGCACAAACATCCACACACAGTCACACATACACACAGGCACACGCAAACACGCACGAGTGCGCACCTGTGAATGCAATGCGGACGGCAACGCCGAGCTGGTCGCCGAGAGCGCCGCGAACAGCAGAGGCGTCGGACGACAGGCGCGTGGTGAGAATGCCGCGGGAGTGGCGCGGGTCATCGTACCACCCGGCAGACTTGCTCACCATCACTCGGAACACCATGTCGCGCAACCGCATCGTCAGCCGCTCACCGGCAATCGCCAGAAAGTGGAACTTGCCCACTTGCACGAAGAACATCAGCACAGCCATGCCAACAAAGGCGCCCGCAAACGCATTCACGCGCTTCTGACTGTTGTCGTCGTTGAGCACGCCAACCAGCTCTGCCAGCAGCACGGCGTTGGCTGCGGACAACAGGCCCTCCAGCGCTGCGCACGTGCTCCCGGACAGCAGTTGTGGCAGCTCCTTCCGGTTCAGCTCAAAGGCCCAGCCCACCATGCTGCGGTCAACCTTTGGCGCCTCCTCGCTGTCGTTGTCACCGGACTCGTCCATGTCCGCCGTCAGCTTCACCTCCACCGCCTTGGTGTTCTGTGCTGAGGAGAGCGACGATGACGCATTTGCCAGCGCCGCTGGTTTGCTGCTGTCGCTCATGTCGAGCTCTTCTGTCAGCAGCTTGCTGGCCGCCTTGCCCGCGTCGAGGGACATGCGACCACGCAGGTTTGCGTTCTTGTTGGCGCTGCTGCCGTTGTCGTCGCCGCTGTGGCCGTGCTGTGCCTGCACCATGCGGTAGAAGGCGCCCTGCTGGTCAAGCAGCTCCTGCGGCGAGCCAGCCTCCACCACACGCCCGTGGTCAATCACTACAATCTTGTCTGCAGAGAACACCGTGGACAGGCGGTGCGCAATCATGATGGTGGTGCGGCCGGTCGATGCCCGGTCAAGCGCCTCCTTCACAATCGCCTCGCTCTCGTTGTCCAGCGCGCTGGAGTGGGGGAGGTGGGAGAGGAAAGAGAGGGTGCGGGCGCGAATGAACAAGGTGAGTGGTTGTGGAAGGGGAAAGCACAAGCGCGTGTGGGCCCAATAAATACCCGTACAACAACAACAACAGCAACAGCAACACACACACTCATAAACACACACACGCGCGCACGCCACACACACCACACACACGCACACACACACGCACACACACACACACCTGGTTGCTTCGTCGAGGAGGAGGATGTTTGGGGCTTTGATGAGAGCGCGAGCAATGGCAATGCGTTGCCGCTATCAGGCGCACCAGCAAATCAATAATGCACGCGTGTGTGCGTGTGTACAGCAGTGTGAGGGGAGGCGGAGAAGGAAACAAACGGCGCGTACACACCACAATGTCCGGACCCACCACCACCACTGCCACTACCACGATGATGGGTCCTGACCTGTCCGCCGGAGAGCTGTGTGCCGGAGTCGCCGACCATGGTGTTGTATCCGTCAGGCAGCGCCATGATGAAGTCGTGCGCATTCGCCATCCTGGAGACACGTCGCCGCGCGACATGGCATGATGTGAGGGCGGCAGTGACAAGATTGGAGGAGGGGGCTGAATGGGAGCATACCGTACGCATGCGTCACTAACAGTGATACACCACCTTCAACACACACACACACACACACA